CTGAATCATAACCGTAAATAAAATTATTAGTGCCACAGTCAAAAACAATGACACAATTACTACCAAGTTTTCTAGAATTAAAACAATTTGTTAAATTATGAATTAATCTACTTTGAAAGTTCATGCTTTGAAAAAATGTACCAATGTCTCCTGGCAAGTTTCATTTAAAATTCGCACATTTAATCAAGATTATAAATTAGATAAAAAAGATAAAAAACATTAATTATTGAAAATTAATTAAATCTCTCCTACTAATTTAAAATTTTACTCTTCTTTAAAAAAATATTATAAAGTAAATTGGCGAGTGCAACAAAAGTCAGGATTGTAAAAAAAAGTATTGTAGAATTGTTCATTATAATATAAATCAAAAATATAATAGAACAATCAATAATTTCACTGTTAATAAAAAAATATATTAATACTAGACTGGGATAACCATTGGGTTGCACTTTGATTATATCAACAGTACAACAAAACAACGAATTTTGTAACTCCACCACGGTTCGTAGGCCTATGACAGGTTTAGGATGTTATTCAAGATTACTACACAAAGTTTTATAAAAAACGGCTAAAAAACTAACAATTACGAAAAAATTTTTACAATGCTTTTCTGAAACATTCTGTATAAATGTACTAATATTTCAATGGCTTCACTAGTAAGCATTTAGATCAAGGTCAAAATCTTTCAACTTGCTTTATACAAAAATAATCGTACTCGCAAAAAGTTCCGATTTCAGCTTTATTCACTCAGACAGGATACTCTAAAATCAACTCCACCTAGATCAATCATCATTTTCCCAAAAAATCTGAATCAACTTTCTTTATTTACAAAATAAATAATCTTAATTTCGTTTCTGAAAACCATCTCATCTAGACAGATGACTCTTCTTTGCATGATTTCTTCTATTTTAATAAAATAAATCAGGGAAATAATTTAAAGGAAGAAGGAAAAATATTTTAAAAAATCCTAATGTAAATAGAAGTATGTATAATGTAAAAAACAATATGATGGAAATTTACATCATTATGCATTGCCACATATCTATCTCAGAACTATATAAAATATATTGTTTACTCAATCTTCTTTACTCTTTATAATAATTTAAAAAACAATCATCATTTTTATTTAAGCACAAATTGATACCACATTTACTGAATTTTGGCCCATTGTAAGCAGACTTTTTACGTTCACCTCTTTCTTGAGCATTTTTTATAAACATTCCAAGAGTTTATAATAGCTCGATCAAATAGATAAAAAAAACTTTTTTTGTCACACAATTATGAACTTATTTTTATATTAATTCAGAATTAATTATTATTTGCAACATCTTATCCAATGATGGATACTATACACCTACGGTCATGTTATAAAATGTAAACATCATGTTATAAAATGTAATGTACAATCCTATATTTAATGAAATATATAAGTTTTTTTTGACTTGATAAAAACATATGCAAATGCCACTTTTTAGACCTCTTTGTTATATGATTTCTGCCCAAAAAGCTATCCATGAGATCTACTTCTCCCATATGTTTATTGTTCGAACTTTGGCGACCAGTATGATCTTGTGCTAGGAATTTTGATTACTGACATGTAGAAAAATATATTAAAGAACTTATACAAATCATAATCTGTTTCTTCAAAAAACAACACAAAAAACATTTACAAAAAAATCTCTGCCATACATTACAAGTGGAACTACTGCATAGTGATGTCGATTACCATCGCATAGTTTTGAAAACTTTATTCACAGTGTTTTGATATAAATTGTACATAAAACAACAAAAACATGAAAACAAACCCTTTTTTCACTCATTTTCACTTCTACTGTATTTTGTATCTCGTTTACTTTCTTATAACAAACTAAGAACTCGCAGCTTTTTTCCAGTCACAACAAACAGCGAAATGACAAGTTCTAGTCTAGTCCTGGTATTTAACAGTGGCGTTTGCTATTTTTTTTTAAATTGCATTTTGTTGTACGCAATAGTCGCTTAAAATGTTGCCAGCAATAACAAATTTACAGTACAAAGGTTTTTAGTACCTATTTTTGTTGACTAAATATTATGATTGAAATTTCCATCACGATGCAAAGAAGGGTTAAACAAATTTCAATTCCTGCATCGTATGAAACAGAGTATGCACACGTTTTACCGAGTAATAGTTTCGCGTCAGTTGTCGTCTCGAGTGCAGACTTTCCGTCGGTTTTTGGGGTTTTGTACAATGGTTTTGTCTCATCTATGCACAACTTATGTATCCTAGTATATCCTAGTGTATTCCTGTATATCCTGTGTATCCTTTATCCTACGTCTGTGTTTGTCCTAGCGAATAAGTATTCGCAAAGTTGTCGGAACACGTACTCTGCATTAGCCCAGGCAGAGGCAGCCAGGGCCCCCGTTGAATTTGCGTGAAATAGTTTGTCGAACAAATTTCAAATGTATGGGTCTGATAGAGAATGTCATCGTAGATGTAAAGGACGATTTATTTGGAAAAGGATTAAAGCAGATGATATGTCAGAAAAGTGTTAGAAATTAACCGTCGCCTAGGAACTGAGAGTACAACATTTTGATTTACTACCACTACCCAATGATTGTTCTATTCTAATTTTGTCATATTTTTCATTAATATGCATTTCATATTCTATCTCTCGAAGGAGAAGTTTATGTATTCATAAAAAACCCGATTTGCTTATTTTAAGTTTTCTAGACGTTTCAAGTTATTCTGAATCGAATGAGACCAAATTTGGAAAAAGTATGTGTGTGTGTGCATGTGAACAAATTATTAACTTCCCGTAGGGTAAGTTATTGTAATGGGCCGAAAATCGGAATTGAAAATTTTTACATTTCTCGACGTTTTGAAGGTTTCTGAACATTTTGGCATACCTCAGAAAAAATTGATGTGTGTGTGTATATACAA